GAAGGAAGTATACTCAGAAGGAAGGCTGACCATACATCATGACACTATTCCTGTGGCAAGGCTGCAGCCCAAAATAAACTCCCAGTCTCATGATTTCTCAGGAACCCCCCAGGCTGAATTCTGGGACTGGGAATGGTCAAATAGCAGGAAGCAGAGCAGCCTTTTACCCATGCCATTCCTATATTGCTTCCTTGCACCCTGTGTAAAGCACCAAGCTGCACCACTGCAGTTCACAAGATGTGACTCACAGGGATGCATGGGAGAAGAAATTCTCACATAGGCTGTCTCCATAAAGAGTGTATTGTGTGTATCTACTGTGTGTGTAGCTGTGGCCGCATATGTGACTTCCTTATGTTGGTGGAGTTAGAAAAAACAAGTCCTTTAAAATGTTAAAGAAATATTCTTGTCAAAACTGAAGTAAAATAATAACTTTGAAGTTGATCTTTGCTTTTCTTGCTATTTTAATGTTTAAATGGCAGACTGTTTAAAACCACAGAACAAGGCAATTTTTGTTGAAAATACTTTTCTATCCTTCTGCATTTAATCAATAATGATTTTCCTTTTTATTTGTATCTACTTTGTGTTAGGTTTATAAATCTGTCTCTCCATTTCAGAAACGGTGGTACTGGCCTGGTTTTCTCTTTGTTGCCCTGTGAATTAATAGAAAGCTAGACATGGGTACCTGGAAGCAGAGCCAGAAATTGAGAGTTCTGTGTGCCATGTGGGAGAATGGACAACCTATGAAGCCTTGAGCAAGCTGTGTAGTCTCAGAGCACCACAAAACAAGGGCAGGGTAAACCACTTAACCTGTGCCAAGTGTGATAAAAGCGTTCCTTAGAACTGCCTTTACAAGTGAGAATTGACTTGGCAACATGGAGTTTCCATTTTAGAAGATATATTAGAAGCAAAGAATAGCTGAACCACCAAACACTGAACTAACATCTTTTTCAAAGTTGTAGTTTTAAAAGAGGTAGCTGTGTTAGTCTGTGCTCACATGTCAGGCAAAAACAACAAAAAAGACAAACATTTTGTGGCACTTTAAAGACTAACTGCTATATTTTAGTATGAGCTTTTCTGGACAAGTCCACTCTCATGTCTGAAGAAGGGAACTTGTCCATGAAAGCTCACATTAAAACATAGCAGTTAGTTTTCAAGGTGCCAAAACATTTTTGTCTTCTTTTTTTAATTTTTGTTTTGTTTTTGCCTGACATCTTTTTCAAATTTGCCTTTCTGAATGACTTACCACGTACCTGAATACGCTTGCTCCTATACTTGCTCATGATTAAGCAATACAATAAAACAATTCAACGTGTTCTGTGTCGGTGATAGCACTTCCCTACCCCTATTAAACCTAATTGCTGTTCAAACTAAAATAGATGCCCACTGAATCAGTTGTGGAATTGTATGTCAGTGCTTCTTGAAATTATGCTGATTCAAAGGGTCTATTCTGGTTTTGATTAGCAACTGACTTTTGGCCACAGTCTGATTTGGTTATAAATATGGAATATGACTTCTGTTCATGCATTGCTCTTTCAAAGCTTGAGGAGGCATTTGTCTGATTCCACGTCTTTCATTTTACAGAAATGGAGCAGTGTAAGCAATCCACTCTTTCTCCCACTGATCCCACCTCAGTCGCAAGGCTTCACTGCTATTGTCTTGACATATGACCGGATTGAGAGTCTCTTTCGAGTCATCACTGAAGTCTCAAAAGTGCCAAGCCTTTCCAAGTTGTTAGTAGTCTGGAATAACCAGAATAAAGTTCCACCAGAAGGTAAGGTGTTTACAGGTTGGGATTCTATATGCTGTCGAGACCAATTTTTGTTATACTGCTGATAAACCAAGTTTTGAGCAGGAAGAACACATGGAGATGTATTTTTTTGTGATTCGCCATCAGTTGTGGTGAGGATTTGAGCAGATGTAGGCCAATTTCTAATGGGGTAACAGTAACTTCTAAATTTATTAACTTAATTTGAATACAACCACCTTGGAAAAAGCAGAACAGAATGAATACATTGTGGGTCATTGATATATTTGGTCCTATAACATAACCATGTTTATATTTCCTAGTATCATTATACAACTTCTATGATGAAATTTTTGTAATCGTGAACTAGAGCATGTATTTGGCAAGTCATGAAATATTGCTATAAAAAGAAAGTACAGTATGCACCTTAAAAGGTTCTGCTCCTTTCATTAACTGAAAAATAACCATATATATTTATTTGATTGATTGATTGATTGATTGATTGATTGATTGATTGCACTTATATGCTGCCCATCTAGACATAGTCTACTCTGGGCGGCTCACAACATACAAGATAAAAACAATTCAAAATATATATTAACAGTTTTTCAATATACAGAACAACAATAGTTCTAGATGGGATGATAAGAGAAGTTAAGTAGTGCCTGGAGGGAAGGACTGTCTGAATAACCAGGTCTTAAGTTGGTTTCTGAAAATACCCAGCGAGGGGGCCAAGCCAATCTCGGAGGGGAGTTTGTTCCAGAGAGAAGGAGCCACTGCCGAGAAGGCCTGGTGTCGTTTTTTCTTTCCGGGCCTCCCTCGGCATTAGGCTCCTCAATCACCCCTCCTGGCTAGATCAGGTGGTACGGGTAGATCTAGGCAGGAGGAGGCACTCTGCCAAGTGTCGAGGTCCTAAACCATTTAGAGCATTATATGTAATCATTAAAACTTTGAAATCAATGTGGAAGTGTACGGGCAACCAATGCAAGGCGGCCGGGGTGGGAGTGATGTGTTGGTTTTTCCTCACTCCAGTAAGGAGTCTGGCCGCCGCATTCTGTACCATTTGGAGATTCCACATCAGTCTCAGAGGTAGCCCCACGTAGAGCGCATTGCAGGGGTCTAATCTCGAGATTACAAGCACGTGGACCAGAGTGGTGAGCACCCCAGCATCAAGATAGGGACGCAGCTGGGCAATCCGCCAAAGATGGAAATATGCAGAATGGACCACTGACGCCACCTGAGTTTCCATGGTAAGCGCTGGGTCCACGTGTATCCCCAAGCTGCGAACCTCACTCTTCGCAGTGAGAGTCACCCACACAAAGAGAGGAAGTTTCCCAAACTGCTGATGGAGGGACCACCCACCCTCAGGACCTCTGTCTTGTCCAGGTTCAGCCTCAGCCCATTTTCCTGCATCCATTACAGTACAGACTCCAAGCAGCACCGAAGGGACAGGATGGCATCACCTGCAGTTGGAAAAAAGGAGATGCAGAGCTGGGTGTCATCAGCATACTGATGGCATGATGGTCCACACCCCCTGATGACCCCACTCAGCTGCCTCATATAGATATTAAACAGCATTAGGGAGAGGGTCGAGTGCTGTGGAACTCCAGAATTGAGGCACCACGGGGCCAAGTCCTCTGTCGGCCTCCCTCAATAGGTTATCTAACAGGACGACCAATGGCTTTTCTGCACCATGGCACGGCCTGAAGCCCGAATGGAACATATCCAGGGCGCCTGAAGCTGATTGGCCACCACCCTCTTGATTACTTTGCTGATGAAACGAACATTGGCGACGGGCCTATAATTGCCAATATCGTCCGTTGCCAAATTAGGTTTATTTCTAATGGGCCTAATGAGTGTCTCCTTGAGGGCGGGGGAAACCCTGCCCTCAAGGTAAGACCCATTAATTATCGCCGTGGCCCATTCAGTTGTTATAGGCCTGGCTGCTTTGATTAGCCAGGCCAGGCAAGAGTCAAGAGAAGAGGTGGTGGCCCGACAGTGGTCTAGTGCTTTGTCCACAATGTCAGGCGTCACAGGCTGAAAGACATCGAGAGGACTGGGCAAGGTGGAGTGCTGGACATCTCTGCTTGATCCACTGTATCCAAAAAAAGCAGAAAGCTCCTGGCGGATGGCCTCCACTTTTGATTTTAAAAATGCTGCAAATTGGTCAGGTGAAATACTAGGAGGAGGCCCATCACTTAGATCAATTCTGGATAGGTCGCAAACTACGGAAGAGTTCCGCCTGCTGATTTGAGACCTCGCTTATCCGGTCAACGAGGTGAGCTCGACTAGCAACCCTTACCTTGGCAAGGTAAAGGTTAGTCACGACCTTGACAGCCTCCCTATTATAATCCGTCGGTTTCCTTCTCCACTTGCACTTTAGCCTTCTGGTTTGCTTCATCGCTCGTAGTTCCTGGTTAAACCAGGATGCAGGCCGAGTTCTGCATTGGAGAGGGCGTTTAGGAGCGATCATGTCAACAGCGCTAGTGACGGCTGTAAACCAGCCATCAACCAGAGCCTTGACAGGAGCACCAGCCAGATCTGCCAGAATCCCTCTCATGGTGTCCTGGAATCCTATAGAATCCAGTAGCCTTCAAGGGCGGACCATTAAAATAGATCCATGCTCCCTGTGAGGTGGGAGGGCCACTGAGAGGTTACTTTTATTAGGTGGTGATCCAATCATGACAAGGGAACTGACAAAAGGTCTGTCACCATCAGATCATGCTCACTCCAGTTGGTGGAAAAAAACAGGTTAACATGTTGGGACATGTTCAAGGAAACCATGGTTTCCAAGAACTCTATTTATTTATTTATTTTTTTTAGAGCTGGACCAGAGGTCTCAGCCTCCGCATGAACGTTGGAATTCCCCAATAAGCCTCGGGGATTCCAACAGAGCTGCGGAGACAAAGTCTACCAGATCTGGTAATGAGATGGCTGGGTCGTGGGGAGCACAGTAACCCAGCAAAATCCCAATACCATCCCTGGCTCCTATCAATACATGGAGGGCCTCCAAACCTGGCTTCACCACCGCAGAGCACCTAGTAACCTCAGCAGTGTTTTTATATACAATAGCTACTCCCCCCCATCCCTCCAGTCTACCTTGGTGCTGGACAGCATAACTGGGGGGACAAACAAGGGCCAGGACTGGACCCCCTTCCCCACTAATCCATGTTTCAGTTATGCATGCCAAGTTTGCATCCTCTTCCAGAATAAGATCATAAATAATCTGGAATTTATTGGATACAGACCTGGCATTCAACAGCACCAATTTTAGAGTAGAGGTTGACAGTTCTGGCTACCTCAATGCTGGCAGTTGGTCAAAGTCCCAGAACGGTGTACAGCTTCCAAACATACGCTCACCGTTTTTCTAACATGAGTAGGGACTCTGCCAGCACCATATCTCCCTCTACCTGTAATCACCTGGATGTTCATTGGCCCCTTGCTGGGAAGGCAGGCCTTCCACTACATAGCAGGCAGCAAAAGAAAGGAAAAAAGAAGAAAAAGAAAAAAAGAAAAAAAAACTCCAAAAAACACCAGATTAATACAATTTGAACCAGGCATATGTAACAAAAATATTAAACTAAAGAGTTAACAATAATCGAAACAAACAATTAAAGTGCATAAAAGTGATATATATTTGCCAGTGGGAGTTTTTCTTCCTTGCTGGTATGAAATACTGACTAGTTATTTAAGCAGCTAGTCTCCATCTCATGAGCAGCTCATGGACTGGGGCTTACTGCTTTTCTAACCTGTTCATGTAATTTCAGTATATACTTCATTATACTATTGTTCTTGCAACAAGAGCAGACTCTACTTATTTATGGTTTTCTCAAAAATCCTCTAACCTTTTAATGAAATTTAAATAACAAAAGATTTCATGTAGTTCATGAAATTAATACTTATACCACATAATGTTTTTAAAAATCTCAAACTGCCTGTTGATCTACCAATGAACAAAGTGAATTTTACCTCCTTGCTTCGGGAAAGAGATAAAATTTATCTCCACCGGTAGCAGTTTGACACATGGTTTTTAGTTGTATTACAAAGTGGTGTCACCACTATTTATTATTTATTCAGTTATTTAGTTATCTGGGTTATTGTTTGAGTTTGTTATATGTTCATATCTATTTGTGGCAGATTGTGAAGGTTTGCTGTTTGCTTTGTGTATGTTGGTTGTTTCTGGTTTTGTATATGACTGCCCAAAAGTGGTGGATTTTCACTAAGTGGGACAGCATAAAAATATGTTAAATGAATAAATAAGGAGGGACAAGAATTAACCTCTATTGGTAGTTAATAAAGATGGGTTGCCAAACACAGGTATGCCCTCTGAAATCCTCCATAGCTTAGTCCCCATAGCAGTGACACAAAGAAAGTTCACTGTGATGTGTTTGCTAAGCTTTTAAGGGGCAAAGCCATCTACTCTGCTTTAGACTTGATTATGCAAATTATGTGTCACGTTCTGGTTAATTTTGTGGAACTGCTTTCATTTAATAGCATGAAGTTGTAGACAAAGTACATGTTAAAGTCTGACCTACCTCTTGTGTGATTTTATCTCTTGGCTCATTATGTGGAACAGAATGATTGGCTGTGTCCAGGATATGGTTAATGTTTGTAGTGGTCCCACTTAGCTTTCTCTCAGAAGAAGCATCTGTGAAGCTACTTCTAGCTTCTCTGAGCTCCTAGTATTGGAAGGATTATTCACCATTTATGATAACCCTCTTTTAGAGGGAAGTGGATGTGTGGAAGTTTGGTGCTGGACAGCTCCAGGCAGTCTTTAATGGAACAGATTATATGAATCCTTTATGTATTTACTTAATTAAAGTGAGTACTGTATTTACATATCACTTACTAAAATATTGAAAAGTACATAAGAGTTAAAAAGTACAAAACAATTTCAAGTGTTTTTAAAAAACTAATCAATAGTGTTGGAAAAGACAAACACATAGGAACAGCAATATGAAAACTGAGCAAGAGGGAAGGGCTGTGTAAATAAATGCATGTAAGTTTGGTTTCATCCTGGTTAGCTC